TATATGCACATCAGTTCCTGCAAGGTGTTTACCAATACACCTGCTGGAGTGAAAACCTCTGCACATTGGTGCTTCACCAGTGGCTAACTGTCGAGACACCTAGGAAAGCTGACTAAATGACTCTCTTCCCATGTGCTATGACCTATGCAAGCACTTGTAGATATCAGCTGTCTTCCGGTTAAGTTCTATCTATCTTGACTACGAACTCAAAAGGTTTATGACACTCCTGCGGAGAGCTGTGGTGGCGGCGGAATCTGTGGGTGCTACCCATGGTTCCCAACCCTCAGTATACCACTCACCATGATAAGTATCATGCTATTAGACTGCTCAAACAACCCACAAAGAGCCTATAGCAAAGGGGCATGTCAAGGTTTGATTGGCGTAAAACCATCCCAGATGTCTCCGGTACTACCTGGGACTACTCTGGGGACCCTTCTGAATAGCTCCTGCTAACTCAGTCAGTTTTAGTCCGTTTTACTCGGTTCTTTTTGGAGAAGGTACTTGACCTTCGCACCTTGGCCCCCTTATATATCCTGCCAACAGTTTCAGGTCAGACGGACAGCAGCGACATATACAGTGTTATGGACCTGTCTTCATAGACTCTATTTAACTAGTATGACGGTAACTTCAACCATTTTGACCCATGATACCCGAGGTGAACCCTGGGGCCGCAGGTAGCTGTTAGGAATAATTCTGCCAAGTTACAGCTTGTTCAGAGTACCATCGCTCCTCCCGTAGGCTTCCAATCAATATGCAAACAAGTGCCTGTCGATCCGTATTATGTGACAAACAATCCTAACATTTCTCAAAATTCCCCCGAGAACATTTCCTACAGAAGGTAGGGTAATAGTGTCCCAAAGGTAGGGTAAGTATGTCCATGGTGACATGAAACTAGTCTCCATAGTAGGGTAACCTGACCCTTTTAGACAGAGTAAACTCACCCAGCCTTCCGACCTATGCTCAACTCAGACTGGACATAGTCACATTACTTCCACTACTTCAGTATACCTATCCTATAAGTACCTCCTGTTCCTTGGAATATCTGGACCATCAGATATCCCTCGGACATGCACCAGCATGCCTGCCTAGTCTACTATCTGACCTCATAGTCTTATATATGGGCGTAGACTTAGGTTGTCATAACTCTATAACTTACAGTCCTTATACTTATATATGGACATAGACATAGGTTGCTATCACTCAGTAATGTATAGTCATTATACCTGACAACTGTGGCCCATGAAGAGGCAGCTGTACGGTCCAGTGTTTGGATACTAGAGGGAGTGGTAGAAGTTAGAAAAGTAGTAGAGGACCACTCTAAAGTGGAAGTGAAGGGTAGTGCCAACAGGACAGTAGTTGGAGCAGGCTGAGATAGGTTGAAGGTATACAAGGTATCTAGTTCTCTTGTAAGAGTAGTGATGTACTCTGTGCGCCTATCAGTTGCTTGCTTGTAGTTATTGTATAATACTTGCATCATATGGATCAAAATGGGAAAGGACTTTCGCAAAGTAAATAGTAATTCAACTTCTCCTGCTTCTTTCATTTGGTCAAACATATTCATAAAGGTAGCAAATATGCCTTCTGTGTTTCCTTCGATATATTGTAGTAGAGTAGAGGTAGTACTACTACAGGACCACTTGAGCGAGGTGGGAGGGCCCTGTGGCCTAACGATAGATAAAGCAGGGTTCGGAGTAGTGGCCAATAAAGCCTCCCCACCTCTAGATAATTAATCAATAGGCCTAGCAGCCATATTGTGATAAGAGATGATGGAAAAAGGTCCTTGCCCTTTACAGGGCAAGGTAATAAAGTGTAGAGGATTGATACCCAATAAATATTGTGAGGTACTTAGTAAGAAAGTGCAGGTATTTAGAGAAGGGTACTAGGTTGCATAAAGAAAGTAAACTAATCTGTGGCATATTCCATTATATGAATAAAAGAAACTCCTTGATCAGTAGTCCTCCCTGAGTTAGGTGCAGCCGCACTATATCTACCTGCTTCCACCACTTTCGCTTGTACCAGTCAACTGTTCAATCCTTACTAGACACCTGACAATCATGCTATTAAGATACTGGTGGCTGTGACTGAGTACTACCGGTTTTTAAAAGTATCCAGATGCCTTGGCATTTCTTTTCCCCTGCCTTTGTGCCAAGGCATCTGGATACTTTTGAAAACAGGTAGTACTATGTTACAAACATCAATGCCTACATACAAATTCTGCTTGAACTTATTCTTAGATTCACTTTTTTGTGTCTACTGCATTTACCACATCTTTGAAAAATAACAAACCCCTTTTATCATGTACTGTACCACACAAAGACTAGGGTTTTTCAAAGTTAAAATTGTAGCAAAAATTTAGCTTACTTTGTTGTTTTATATAAACTTGGCAGGCATAGAAATGGTTAATTTACTGTTGCTTAACTTTACTATACTATAGGGTAGAAACAGAGGTCTAGACATTGGTAACAGATACTAGTCCTGGTTTTACAGAGCTTTATCAAACCTCTAAAATGAGATATGATATAAAAAGAGAAATTTTAAAAAACCAAAACCCAATTTTAAAAAATACCATAGGACATTCCAGAAATAATTATATACTCTCATTGGTGAAAATCTTCTGACTTTTGATATTTTATTGATAAACAGATTTCTTACCATCTCTGTAATATTTACTATAACCTTTCTACTTTACCTTCAGTTACCTTACAACTTTAAAATATGGTACCTAGAATATGAGGATGCTATTGGCTGATACCAGAAATTAAGCTTAGGCAACTTCCGGCATTTACTTGTTACTGAAAAATCATGTTTTTAACTTTAAAAACCCCTAGTCAGGATTTATCCCAGTCGCTAGACTACTCGAGTACCCCATTTACGGTAATCCAGACCCCGAAATAATGCAACATTCGCACCTCTAATATTAGGATGTAGCCCCTGAGCTTGAACCGGTGCCCCCCCCCAATAAAAAACCCCTTTCGCTTCCTTCTTTTCACTCTTACTAGCTGACTGACGCCCACCAGCATTGGCAAGCGCAGGTCCCGCAGAAAAATGGAGGAAGCGGTACATTTCGAAAGGATGCGGATCGAGAACGAGAGGAGGATCAAGAGGCTTAGCGGCGAGGGACTCTTGAGCTTGGACCTTCCGCCGGAGTATTGCAGCCACGAGGATGGAGAGAGGAGAGGAGGGTTGGGTGGGGCGCAGAGGTATGATAGTGTTGTTAGGCGATTTCAGGGGGAGAAGGGGGGGAAGAGGCGGAGATGGAGGTAGGCATTCAATCCGGGAGAGGGACGAGATGAGTGGGTTGGGTGGGCGCTGATCTCGGTTATGAGGTGACGATGGTGATGGTGATGTGGGTTCCGATGCCCTTGGGGTGCCCATGGGTGCTATCGTAACCTCGAGTTCTTGTGGAGGGAGCGAGAATATCTGTGGGTTCACTATTATTGGGGAGACCAGGAGAGGTTTTGGGATGCGGTTATTAGGGAATTGGGTTTACGGCCTGATATTCATTTTGCCTCTCTGTATGATATGATATTGAAAAATCACTCATCCTGAATTTATCTACAACCGAACGTTGATCCTTGAGATCGTTTTCATATAATTAATCGCTGTGGCTACGGGAATGCATGCTACTCGAGTAAAGAATTAACAGAGGGTCTCCCAATGTTCGCAGTTGCCGTGTTCGCCCATCATACTTTTAGCGCGGGTCAATAGCCTGTATGCCAATTAGCGTGAGAAGTGATCCGATCTAAAGTGGAGGTAAGACTTGCCGCTCTGCTCACGCCTATTGTCCCCGTCACCATCCGGCCCGCCACCGCCGCCGCCGCCGCCGTGAATAGGTGCCTCACCCCTCAACTCTGCAAAGTAGTTCCTGACTGCTTCAGTGCTGACGGGCTGTCTGTTATCCGCAAAAGGCTTGAGGAAATTCTTGACTTCAGCTTTGAGCTTATTGTATGCAAGCACTCCGTTTATGGCGGTGACTCGATCGACCGACACGAGCGCCTTCTCTCCAAGGTCCAATAGGGAACCACCAGAGCGAACACTCTGATTGTCATCATCATCAAGGGGCGGTTCGTAGGTCTCCTCTTCTTCCAAAAGGATAGGGTGTTGCGAGAGTCGCGGGAGACAGGAGCCGCAACGACACAGATAACCGCGGAAGTCTTCTTTGAGGAATATGGAAAAGGGCCTTGTAGTTGGCTGCGGAGGCGGGAGAGTCTCGTAGCTGCATGGCTTTGCTTCTGGTTCTGCTGGAGTAGATACGGGCTCCGCATTCGAATTGAAACCGGTCAGGACTATGGAGACCTCCGGAGATTTGGCCCTCTTGAAATCCTTCCGGAGAGCCTCCCCATCGCCATCATCAACTCTTCTCTTTTTCCCGTTGCTGTTTTCAACTCTACTACCATTGACAGATTTTGTTCCGTCAGAGTTCTGGACGCCTGGGTTGGTCTGTTGCAAGGATCCTTGTTTATATACCGCACCCAAAAACCCAGGGGTGCCAGAGTATCGTCCCAACCAAGGATTCTTTTCGACGCACAGCCAGCAGATAAAGTGTTCGAATTCTTCCGTGGGAAATCCTTCGGGCAAGTCGTCGTCCTCGTCCTCAGGATCATAGCCCTCCGGCTGCCCTTCGCCTTCGCCGCTCACTTTCGCCTTTCCCACCGCCATAGTTTCCGAACCAGCTGTAATGCCCTCTCTCACTTTCGGCAGCCCCATAATACACCTGTCATGGAACCAATCCTCCCCACAAACGTCACCAAGTAAACACTGGTACATGGTACCCCGCTCACTATGAGGATCGTAATCTTCATCGCAAGCGCAAAACTTCCCCCAGAAGTTGTGGCAGTACTTATTTCCCACCTTCCCCTTGGGTAAATCTATCTTCTCCCCTTTAACCTTGCGAAGCGTGCACTGGACGGCAATTTTCTCAGTCCCACAATCACAAACAATATTCCGCTTGTTGAATATCTCGACCAGTTCGTGATCACCGTGACAAGAGATCGAGCAGCTATAGCAGATAGCGGCTGCGCCGGTGGAAACAAGATTTGTGAAGCCAGGAGGCGAAGCGATATTGGGGTGACAGGTTTTACAAGAGAATACTGGCTGGCGAAGCGAACCGAGGGGATTTGTGCAGACGTCGAAGGAGTAAGGCATTGCCTCTCTTGCGTCCAGCTCGAGTTGCAATTGAGAGTCTATATAGCTGTGCGGAATTAGTTTGATAGTATCTGATGAGAGCTCCCTCAAGGAAGGGATAGCTACTCTTGAGCCGTGACGGAGTCTTGCGAAGAGGACTCTGGGGCCTCCTTCGGCGGACTATGGGAAGTGGGCGAAGCCATGGCGGTAGGATTTTGCAATTGTTGCGAGAGCTGGAAGTCGGTGTTTGTGGTAAAGCACCTGACAGCGAGCAACTGTCTATTGTTTGTGGGTGTGGGCTACGGTAAGGTTGATAATGTGAATGGCCGACCGCAGACCGTCTCATGAGATTCCTACACACACGATCAAGGGCGTGCCCAGAAGCGCGTGAAAACAGCTCTGAACTCCAACACCGGGTAACAGCCACTCTCACCCAGACATACAAGTTCCCTAGCGGCAACCCCCCCTCCCAGGATCGCTACCACCACCGCCGCCTCTCCCTCACCTATTTACCATGGGGAAGGAAGACTACGTATCCACCGGTGGGAGTCTGAAGCTCAAAGGAGTTATGGACGGTGGAATCAGAAAGAAGAAGAAAAAGAAGCCTCCGACCCCAGATCCAGCATCGGAACTGAAATCACGCGACGCTTCCGCCGGAGCTGCGAGCGCCCATGGACTGGGGGAACGTGGGGAGGAGGAGCCGGAGGAGGAGCCGGAGGATCCCTACGCTGGAAAGACTGAGGCCGAGAGGCGGTTCGAGGAGAGGAAACGAAAGAGGGTTTGTATTTCTTCAAAGTCTGGCAACTGGGTGAAGGCTTACGAATTATATATAGCTAGACGAGAGACTCAAGAAGGAGGGGATCAAAAGTCACAAGGAGCGTGTCGAGGAGTTTAACAAGTATTTGAGTAATCTCAGTGAGCACCACGACATGTTAGTCCTCACAATCCCCCCGCCCTCCCCGTTATAGATTGCCGATTGTCCTAATATTATCTATAGGCCTCGTATTGGCCCAGGCTAACGTCCTTCGCGGGAAAATTTGGGGGCTCGATTGGTCTCGGTATTTTTCATATCTGTATCGCTGCACTTTGGCTCTCTAATAACGAAGTCGTCTCGAGCTATCGTATTCACGCGCTAGCCCACCTTACGAGGCAATTACTTATAGAAATCGTGATGAATGTTCAATCCGGACATTTGACATGTTTAATACCCAATGCACTCGGGTAAGTCTGGGGCACCGGTACTCGGCTTTCCTTTTTTTGTTTTGATAAACCAAACACTGTATTAAAGTACATATGAAAAACATTGGTATGAGCATGACCGAACGCCCTACGGGTCGCACTAACATTTTCAGCCCTCAAGAAAGTGAAAAGTATTCCTAGGCGGCAACCCTAGTCCTCTTCCCAGCTCCTGTGGTTGGCCCCCTTGGTCCTCCCTTGGGTAAGGTGTATTTCGCGAATGCTCTCGCAAGACTCTTCTTAACAGAGACCTTTTGCGCACCAACAAAGCTGTCTACCGTAGCGGCAATGGCAAGGTCGATATCTCGCGAGTAGACGTATTCACTTAGCCTCATTTTCGCAAAGGCTTCCGATAGCCTGATAATGCTTTCCAAATGTCTGACAGTGATCGGGAAGCTCCCGGTTGCCAGAGACTCGCGACGCATCTCCACAAACAATCGAGAGACCTTATCTTGATCCATCTGGTGTAACTGGGGAGAGCAATGTTCTCGGGCGTAAAGAATATATTTCCGGAGCAACTCCTGCGGGATCGGGGAGTTTGTGCTATTGCCACTGCTAACTGCGGGAGTAGCGGAACTATTTCCTACAGGATGGGAATGGCCATGTGACTCGACAACAAACTTTGCGAGGAGCTCATCAACCTCGGGATCAACTGTATCACGTACGACGCAGAGAACATCGAACCGAGACAGGATAGGCTCTGTCAGTTCCACGTTTTGAGCGAAGGGAATTGTCGAGTTGTATCGTCCTCCGATTGGGTTGGCCGCTGCGATGATCGCACAACGTGCCTGCAACGTAGTGACAATACCAGCTTTGGAGATCGATATGGATTGTTGCTCCATAGCTTCGTGGATAGAGGTTCTAGAACATACCATCAGCCATGCTCATTGGGCTCGAATAGCGGGATCGCGAGATCGCATGTATACCTGTCTTTGTCATTCATCTTGTCAAACTCATCGATCAAACAGGTTCCCTTATCAGCTAAGACAAGAGCACCACCCTCTAGTGTCCATTCCGACGTCATTGGATCTCTTCGCACGCTTGCTGTTAAACCAACAGCACTTGCCCCTTGGCCAGTGGCAAAAACTGCTCTATGGGCTGTCTTCTCAACGTACTTTAGTACTTGCGATTTGGCAGTACCAGGATCTCCGAGCAAGAGGACATTGATATCACCACGAATTTGGTGTTTGCCATTGATGTTCTTTCCAACACCCCCAAACAGAGAGCAGGCCACAGCAGTCTTAATGTCGCGGTGGCCATATATGCTTGGTGCCATGGAGTCAATTATCTTGTCTACAACCTTCTCATCCCTAGCAAGCGTACGGATAGCCTTTTCGTCTTCTTCGGTCAATCTAAAGCCAGCGAGCTCGTCATGGCTTTTGACAACATTATTGGCCTCCAACACAGTAGCAAAGACAGGAAACCCGTTTTTCTGGTTGAGTTGTACATCGTAATTATTTCTGTAGATCCCGGTGACCTCTACCTCTTCCCCAGGCTTGGCTGTGTCGATCAAGTCCCAGAGCAAAATGACTTCTCTATGCCTTGGAAGTCTCCCTGCCGGCACAGTTCCCGGCGACTCTTGTAACGTCATTTTTTGGTAATTCCTGTAAACTGTCTTTTCCGAGTTTAGAGAGAATGGCCCACGGGACTGGCAATTTTGGCAGTATGAAATCTTAACCTCAACATTTGAGTCCTGTTGAAATGGACCAAGGGTGGTACCACATTTGGCGCAGTCAAACTTGACGTATTTGAGCTGAGGGAAAACACCCGTCCGTCGAGTAACTACACCGCGGACGCGCACGAGAGCATTGAGATGAGACTGGCGCAACTCACGGAGAGTGTAAGATGTTGGCACATCAGCAACGCGTACGTGAATCTCGGAATGGATTCGCTCATAGTCTTGGTAGTGAAGGAGGGTAGCTTCAAGGGCGACCTGATCGAAGATTTTCAACGTTTCAGTCGGGGCATTTGCTAAGAACAAGGCGAGCGTAGCTTTGGACTCTGCAAGATGCTGGAATGAGATCTCTAGGGATTCGGAATTGATCTCACCAAGAGTCCTGATACGGTTACCGTACACTGAAGAGCCGGCATCATCTGTATATTCGAGCAAGAAATTCTTGAAATGCACAGCCACGCTGCGGTATACATTAGGAACCGTGAGCCAATCAGCGATGCTAGAAGCTTTAACATCGCCGAGTTGTTCTAATGAGAGCTCCTCATCCATCACGTTATCCATTTCATCCTGGGGATCCTCATCGAAATGGTGCCTACGGCGGCGGACCTGGTTGGATAGATCCATTTCGTCATCTTCCTCGTCAATATTGTAGAAGGCATTAGGCATTCGCCGGGCCATGTTATCTCGCATGTCCATCTGTTTGTTAAGCCGGCGAACTTCGGCGGCACTGAGTTCATCATATTCGCCTTCATCATCAATATTGGTGGTTTCGTATTGATCGAGAACGAGGTTTTGAGTGTAGTCTCTGCAATTTCTCTCATTAGTTCGTATCCTGTGCCTCCGTAAGGACTAGCTCACCGCTCCATATCCTGCATTAAATCCTCGCCATCCATTTCCTCCTCCATATCCTCCAGGTCTTGGATCTGTTCACATAATTTCAATCACGATTCACGAATTGGGGTATTGATCCTACATACCCCATCGTGCTCGTCAAGTTCATCATCGTCATCATCATCCATGAGTGGGGGGGAGGAGCGGAAGCCAGGGGTCGAGGGTAAAAAGCCACCGGGAGCTAGGAGGAGGCAAACACAAAGTTAGCAAACCCCTGATGCAAAGTTTTGAGCGTTGGAAACGGCTCCGCTGCTTTCGAATGGTAAATGTGGCAAAGATGGAAGAAGGTGTCGGTAAGGGACAAATGAAAATAAACTACTGACGACTTGAAGGAACCCCAGTATCTCTCATATCTTCATTATCATCATCTTCTAAGCCGCGTTTTCTGGGGTTGACTTCCGGAGGAGGAGAAGACTGCAGGGCCGGGGACGACATCGTGTTTCAGAGTGAGGAGGGGAAGGCAAAGGTCCAATTCCAATATTGAACTACTTGAGTTGTAGGTTCGGGGGGGAGCACCGGGCTATTGAAGAACTGGTTTGTTGGTAATAAGGTGCGAGGTATTAGTAGAGGGAAGGGGAGTTCAAGTGTAGAGAGTTCAAGTGTAGAGAGGGTAAAGTGGGATAGGGGCTCCACAACGGGGAGTTGGAGTTAACGAAAAAACAAATATCGGTGTCGTAGCTGTGCCGTGCTCGAGCACCGTACCTTACTAGTACCGGGACTCGTACCGTACTGTACTCGAGTACAGTGCCTCTGAGCTGTGATGGGTGACAGGAGACGAGCCAGAGCACACTTCTGATGGGCAAGGTGTCTATCATAATATTGCCAAGACACACGATCCCTAATCCTTGATGGGGCTCTCCCTACGCTTCGAGCTTGCTCAACCCTTCTTTGCTCACTACGGGTATGATATGATACGGTATGATACCAGTATCATGGTATCATAATATCATATCTCCGACATTCATTCATGCTTGCACTCTAACCCCCCCCCCCTTCCGCCCCTACACAAGTCCTTTCTTCTCCAACGCCCCTATCATACCTGCCCCAGACTTGAAGCCCCCATCTCGTTTGAATGGTTAGGTTACGGCTGCTCCACGAATGACACTCACCACTACCACCATACTGTCTGCGTGAATCACCGACTCTACTTGCCTTGTTAACTTACACAAAATCCATTACAATCCCCTCCAATGCCAGGTTACTTTTATCATTTGTTCTTTGATCTTTACCCTCCTACTTTTCCAGCCGTTAGATCGTTGCCTGATCTCAAACATCTTTCTGACTTTCAATTGTCGCAACTCCATGCTTGGATACCACCTCCGGAGACAAGCATCTTTGGTACCATCTTGCCCTCCCACACAGCGTCACATCCTCTGCCCTTTCGCGAGCTTGAGGAGCTTGCTATAGACCGGAAACAGGTAGAGAAGAGCAAGGCCCGGGAATCCTCTGCCTTTGATCCGGAAGCCTATTCTACACATTTGCCCCATCTAGACTGGCGCTTCGGTCGCGTATCGGTTGAGTCTATAGATATGGCTCTGGAGGACCGTTCGGCGGTTCATATGAATTCTCCGGGCACGGAAGGATCTAAAAATGGCGAAAGTCGACCTTCGGGGGCCTCGGAATCTTTTGCCGGAGGTGCTGCCTCAAAGGCTCATTTCATTCCCCTAGAAACGAAGAACACTGAGTTTGGCTATGGGGTTGTACATCTCTATCGAGATGTCTTTGAGACTCCCGGACTTTATCCTCTAACAACTAAAGTCGAAACAGCCCACAAACTTCCGGGAAATCTTTATGGCGAAACCGATGAGGCATTAACCACCATTGCTGTACTTGCGGTTCCTTCCTATATGACTGCGTCAGACTTTATGGGGTTTGTGGGGGAAGAAACTCGTGACGCTGTTAGTCATTTTAGAATGATCAGGACGGGCCAGGCAAATAGATATATGGTTCTCATGAAATTCAGACGAAAAGAAGGCGCAAGAGAATTTGTTGGTAGCTTTAATGGAAAAGTGTTCAACAGTATGGAGGTATGTCAAGCGCCACGAGAGAAAGACGTCTCAACACTTGCGGAAGGCTACGTACTGAGATGTAATGTTAATAGCCAGAAAATTGCCACGTCGTTTTCGTAAAATCAATTCAATTTCAACCGCCTACATCGGAGGACTCTTCCTCTATACCTCCCCTTGAGCCTTCTACAGATCCGTTTTCCGCCTCTCACTATCCCACATCTCCGATACCTACTACCACTTCCGTAGTAGCACCGTCATCCTCTGCACCCGTCACAGCCAATCTATCGACAAAGCCCGTGCCACCTCCGACCCCATCACTTTTAGAATTGCCAACATGCCCAGTATGTTTGGAGCGTATGGACGAGACCACAGGACTGTTGACTATTCTGTGCCAGCACGTCTTCCACTGCGCCTGTCTCAGCAAGTGGAAGGATAGTAGTTGCCCAGTTTGCCGCTATACACAGAGCGATGGTTTCCGCGAGAAAGAAACCGGGAACGGTGATGGAGATGAGTACTGCGAGGTTTGCGGGGCCAACAGCAACCTATGGATCTGGTATTTATCAAGCCCTATCCCCCACGTCTCCACCGACAGGAGTTAACATCCGCTCTTCTTAGCCTTATATGTGGAAATGTTGGCTGTGGCCGCTATGATGAGGCGCATGCGTTCGAGCATTACAAAGAGACTTCACATTGTTATGCCATGGATATTGAGACACAGCGTGTCTGGGACTATGCGGGCGATGGGTATGTCCATCGATTAATCCAAAACAAGTCGGATGGGAAATTGGTTGAATTGCCATCAACACTATCAGATTCCCGAAACCCCGATCGTCACATTGATGGAGATTATGTTCCCCGCGAGAAGCTGGATAACATCGGTATGGAATACACTTACCTTCTCACGAGTCAGCTCGATAGTCAGCGGCTTTACTTCGAGGAAAAGGTCACGCAAGCGGCGGACAAGGCTTCGAAAGCCACTCATGCCGCAGAGAAAGCAATTGTGGAGTCCCGAGAATTGATGAAGGAGATGAAGGAGCTTCGTAGCAAATTAACCGAATTAGACACAGAAGTATTACCCACCTTAGAAAAAGTCAAGGAGCGAGCCGAGAGGAAGGCCGAGAAATGGGCAGACATGGCCAGAAGGATGGAAAAAGAGTGGAAGGAGGAGAAGGGCGTCAATAACGGTTTGATGGAACGGATCGAATTTCTGACGAAGGATTCGGAGCAGAGGCAGAAAGAAAACGAAGATCTCCGGGAACAGGTACGCGACTTGATGTTTTTCGTCGAGGCTAGGGAAAAAATGAAAGACGAAGGGGAGGAGGTTTCGGAGGGCACAGTCACGGTTGGTGATGCGCCCCCACCGCCACAGCCTAAGAGGGGGAAGAAGGGAAAGGGAAAGAGATGAGCGATTCGACATGTCACTTCTGTCAGGTTTTGTTCACAGCCGGCGGCTCTTGTGTGTGGTTATGGCAGCATTGCCTGGTATTGTCTGTTGATTGTGACATTGTTTAAAATGGCGTCGCGTGTTACGGATAGCGAACCGGGGCATTAGTGGTTAATGATGTGATCAGTGCAGGCTGACCTTTGGCCCTGGCTATTCTAGAGGCTGTTGTGGGTTCTGGACGAAGGTGCTAACGCTAGACCCACCGCTACAGCACTGTACTAGCACAATAGCTCCAAGCAACATCGAATCTCACATTCGAGTTTAATTGTTTAACTCAGTCTATTGAACTTTTGATCTGATAGATAGTTGATCCCTCCTGTGTCACCCAAAGACCAAAACTGTCTAAGTACAGTGGGCGCCTAGCGCAATAGAAAGAGTGTTCCTGCAGAGGTCGTTTTGTAACACGACAGGCTAGGACACACCTACCAGTAGATTGTGGGTTTTCGGACCATTGCATCTCCACAGATATCTTGAACCTCGGCTTTAAGAAAAAATTTGTAATTCTTTTTTGTTATTGTATGTCTAGGGTATGATATGTATTTCTTTCTAGCTTTTATCTTCTTATGGAGCTGTTGACACCTAGTCTAAGTGAGTTTTCTCTCAAAGTATTCTTCCCATAAAAAATCTTTGGCCTTGGCAGGTGCTCTCAGGGAAAGAGCATTCCATTACTCACATTCTAAGGGAATACAGGTTTTCTTGTCTGCGCGTTATTGCAGCATATTACTTTTTGAAATCCTTTTGGGCTCTTTCCGCCTATAGTGGTTGGGTAGTGGTACAGTAACTCAAACTCCCCCAATATTGCGGTGTTTTGGCCGGGGCCGTGCTACCAAACGACCCCTACCGTACCGGTCCCCAAGCTGGCAGGCCGCGAGTGATTGCCTGTGCCTGGAGTAGGGTCTGGTGCGAAGGAAGGGTGGAAGCTGGCACGGCTGCACGTCAAGATAAGAGGTTGTAAGATTATTACATCGCGTGACATGACCGCCGGGGGTGCAGACTGCCGGGCTTCTGGAGATCCAATTTCCTAGTATCTAAAGAGTAGAGAGGTTATGGGTGCTGCGGGAGCTCGCAGCTACTGTTTTCTGGTCTTTTGGGTGGTCTCACTGCTCTATCCGCCTGTAACGAATGGTTGAATGGTAGTCAAGAATTCTCACTGACAATCAAGTACTGTATACCACCAGAAATCAGGACCCGGGTGCTAACCGGACACAGCACCATCCGTGGATCTTCGGGGGCCCTACCCCTAACGGCGGACACCGCGCGGAGGTCCAGGATACAGCTTCTGCATGCAGCATGGATATTCACTCGTGGCTCGGTGTTTCCACTATGGCGGGGACTGCAGGAACAGATCTTGCAAGTCTGAACCAAACATTGAAAGCGCAGCCGGGTGATGTTACTGATAGTCGGCAACGGGTATTCTAGGGACTGAACGATAACTACAAAGAACTAAAGCCAGTTTATTGTTGTTCAGTGGAGGTTTGGTTACTGTTCTGCTGACTCGGTGTCGTCCCCGTTGCTCTATGAGAGTGCGATGGATGTGGGGTTACTCTCGAATATGGGTTACTATGATTGGGCATGATATGATATGAGGAGCAGAGGAATGGTGAAATCAGCAGAGGGGGCGGTCTGCTGAGAGAAGTTTTAAAGGGAGAAGGAAAAAGAAACACGCTTGGACCCTTGGCAGATGTCGGATTTTGTAAGCTTGGCGGCAGGATGGGGGTGGGAAGTACCCCGCTAGAGTGAGCCCGAGAACTTCTTTATCAGCCCATCTTCCACCCCCCAATTTTCTTCTTCTTCTCTTGCCCCTCCGCACCCTGCTCGTCATTCACCAGTCCTACCTTTCAAATCCTTCAATTGCGGGCTCCTCAAAAATATTCTGTATCACTCCTAAATTCGTCACTGTCCCAAACATTCCACTCTAAAATACTAGGATATCCAATACATATTCACAATGGTTACCTCGTAAGTTTTCGCCGGGGGAGAAAAATTTTCCGAAAGATGAAATGTCCATCTTGACTCATCATTGATAGCAATTGGCTGATATTTTAATTGGAATTTCTAGCTCTGTTCTTGGGTTCCCTCGTATGGGAGGTTTGTTCACTAATTCCTGATCGGTATTTTGTCGTCCATAGTATCTAATTTTCATTTAGGAAACCGCGAGCTTAAGAAAGCGACTGAGGCATACTGGGCTGGCAAGATCGGCGCCGAGGAGCTCATTCAAACCGGGAAGAACCTCCGCACCTCTCACTGGAAGATTCAGAAGGATGCCGGTGCTGGAACTATTGCTAGCAATGATTTCTCATTCTACGACCATGTCTTGGACCACATTCAGCTATTCAATGTTTGTGCCCACTGTCACCATTTACCACGCAATTCCTGGACTAACATTCTGTAGGCTGTCCCCAATAGATATAGGAAATATAACCTTCCCGCTCTTGACGAGTTCTTCGCCATGGGTAGAGGTCTTCAGAGGGCTGCTACTGATTCGAGTCCGGCTGTCGATGTTCCCTCTTTAGTTAGTATCCTATCTTGTATCGTTGTTGCCATATTGTGGCTACACCTACAATTGGAACATTGGGGGCGCATTGAGCTTGCATGTTCCTATATGATAGGATTTTGAACAATTTTACGAATTGGGGGGGGGGGGGGGGGGCTGTTGCTAACAATTGTTACAGGAAATGGTAAAGTGGTTTGACTCGAATTACCACTATGTCCGCCCTACTCTCCAGGACAACCAGACATTCTCCCTTGCTGCTGATCCTAAGCCCGTCCGTGAATTTCTGGAGGCAAAGGCCCAGGGCGTCAACACACGCCCAGTCCTCGTTGGCCCAGTATCCTTCCTCCATCTAGGCAAGCCGGACCGTGGTGCATCTGTCGACCCGATCACCCTCCTCGAGAGACTTCTCCCTACCTACACTGAGCTCCTGATCAAGCTCAAGGAGGCTGGTGCCGAGACTGTCCAGATCGACGAGCCTGTTCTCGTTCTTGACTTGCCCTCTAGGGTTAAAGCTGCTTTCAAGACTGCATATGCTAAGATCGCTGCGGCTGGAGTTTCGATCCCCAAGATTACTGTCGCTACCTACTTCGGTGACATTGTCCACAATATTGACGTCCTCTCCAGCTTGAGCACCGTCTCTGCCATTCATGTTGACCTTGTCCGCAACCCTGAGCAACTCGACACCGTCGTTACCGCTCTTGCGCCCGGCCAGATCCTGTCCACTGGTGTTGTAAACGGACGAAACATTTGGAAGACCAACTTTCGGGAAGCCATAGCTATCGTTGAGAAGGCGATCAACGCTTTGGGATCTGATAGGGTCGTTGTTGCTACTTCGTCTTCTCTTCTGCACACTCCTCACACTCTTGCTAGTGAGAGGAACCTCCCCGCTGAGGTTGCCGATTGGTTCTCCTTCGCCTCTGAGAAGTCTAAAGAGGTTGCCATCATTGCTAAAGCTGTTACTGAGGGAGCTGAATCTGTCAAGGCCGAGCTTGATGCCAACGCTGCTTCTATGCATTCCCGTGCTACTTCTGCGCGCACCAATGACCCTGCTGTTAAGGAGCGTCAGTCTAAGGTTACCGCAGCCATGTACGAGCGCAAATCTCCATTCGCTCGGCGCATCGCGGCTCAACAAGAACACTTGGGTCTTCCATTGTTCCCCACCACTACCATTGGATCTTTCCCCCAAACCAAGGAGATTCGTGTTGCCAGGCAAAAGTTTGGTAAGGGTGATATCTCTGCGGCTGAGTATGAGAGGTTCATCGAAAAGGAGATTGAGCTAGTTGTGAGAGAACAAGAGGCCCTTGGCCTTGATGTTCTCGTCCACGGAGAGCCGGAACGTAACGACATGGTTCAATACTTTGGCGAGAGGCTTACTGGTTATGTTTTCACGAGCTTTGGATGGGTTCAGTCTTACGGATCCCGTTGTGTCCGTCCCCCGATTGTTGTCGGTGATATTTCTAGGCCGGCTCCCATGACCGTCAAGGAATCCAAGTATGCTGCTTCTATTACCAGCAAGCCGAGTAAGTTAGCAACTGTCTTTTAATGATTGGATACCAGACTGACTACCGCAACAGTGAAGGGCATGCTTACTGGCCCGATCACCTGCTTGAGGTGGTCTTTCCCTCGTGATGATGTTCACCAGTCTGTGCAGGCTGAGCAACTCGCCCTTGCTCTACGTGATGAGGTCGTCAATCTTGAGACTGCTGGTGTCAATGTTATCCAGGTCGATGAGCCCGCTCTCCGTGAGGGCCTTCCCCTTCGCTCTGGAAAGGAGCGTGATGCCTACCTCGACTGGGCGGTTAAGTCTTTCCGTCTTGCCACCACTGGTGTCAAAGATGTCACCCAGATCCACTCCCACTTCTGCTACTCTGAGTTCCAAGACTTCTTTCATGCTATTACTGCTTTGGATGCTGATGTCCTATCCATCGAGAACTCTAAGTCTGATGCCAAGCTATTGAAGGTCTTTGAGGATGAGGCTTACCCGAGACACATTGGCCCCGGTGTCTATGATATCCACTCCCCTCGCGTCCCCCCACAGGAGGAGATCAGGGCCCGTATCGAGGAGATGTTGCAGTAGGTATATCAAAATCTGGTTTGCATAAATAATCACTGACAACTATTATAGGTTCCTCAGGCCAGAGCAGCTCTGGATAAATCCCGACTGTGGCCTTAAGACCCGCCAATGGCCCGAGACCCGTGCCGCCTTGGACATAATGGTCAAGGCAGCCAAGGAGTTCCGTGCCAAGTATCAGGCTTAATTCAACATGAGTCTTCCTGACACAAAATTTCTTAGAGATTCTAGGTAGGGGTTGGGGGTGTATGGAGAGATTCAACATCGGCGTTTGAAAAATTTCACGAAATCATGGGTTCATTTTTCATTTTTCATTTGTTTTTCATTGGGGTTAGGCTTGCGTGGGTCTGGGTGTCTTGATCGTTCAACCGGTGAAAACATACACACACGACTCGGCATTTGAGTCGGAGGGTCTTCAGTTACCTTTTCCTCTTTTCTATAGCCTCAAAAATCAGAATTGAAACTCATTTTAGCCGGGGATTGTCTTTCTCGTTGCATGTGTGGTGCCTGTGCATGGGGTTTTGTAATTTGTGAAAGGCTTGGAGTTTCGTAATATCCTTCCTCGCGCTTGTAGACTGTAATGTACCATGAGGGCACTGGCAACGGCAAATCGAGCACTACCAAAGCGTCGGTTTTTCCATCTGTTACCCACACGCGGACCAGTGGAGCCCCAGAAATGCCCAATAAGAAGGAACCTATATTTCGCGAGGGTAGGTTAGACCTCGGGAACGCAGAAGTCGTTCAAGTGATGGGCACAATGTGCATCAAAAGCTTTTATTCACGGGTGGTCACTTGGGATGAGATTAGGATTGTGTCAAGGATAGAAGTGTGGTTGTGTTTATTAGACATGCAGCTGTAGACGACGGAGAAGGGGGAATGCGTGGGGAGAGGGGGGTGGGTTGTGTTGTATAATGTTTTCTTTTTTTCTTCCACCCTGGATTTGAGATGTGTATGTGGGGGGGATTTAGCTGGGTAGAGACATTAAAAGTCGCTGCTAATGAAGGTTGCGGATACAGGAGGGTTGGGAGAAGTGTGTACTCAAGCTTCCTTGTGGGTTGCCGGGTTTGTGATATCACTTGAGTATGATATGATACACGCAAAAGGAAGCAAGATTTGGGATCTGCGATCCAACAGCGGGGCCGGTGTTGTCCCGAGTGATCATCCGTGAGTGCAACTGGTTCCAAAATGTGAGTATATTTCAATCCCATCCAAACCACGAGGTCGTGCACTGGAAGCGTATGCCACTAGACACATTCCTCTTGCAGAGTCCTATACCTCTAGAGTTCACTCGCTAACTACGTCAAGAATTAGCCACCATACCCAGCCTTATGAATCACCGAAGCATAACAAACCATCTTCTCAATCCCTGCCGAGGCATAATCCTCCCTGCGACTCAAATACGACTTCAGAAGATGTGGTTTCACCTTAACCAGCACCCCATCCCTCATCCTCTCCCTCACTGCCGTGGGCCTCACGACAAACAGCGTTCCAATCTCGGTGACTATCTCGAATGCATCCCGCGCAGCGGGTATCTTCCAGGAATTCACGACTTCTTGGTACTTTGCTAGGTCCTTGGTGAGCATTATGCCGCCAGCTTGGTTTACCGCGTGGCGTTTGAGGTGCTCTAGCAGGGCGGTGCGAAAGCCGTGGCTTATTTCGGTGAGGAAGTGGGCGAGGTTTGCGCCGTCGAGGGAGGTGGTGGCGGTTTGGGTTAGTTTTTCGAGGAAAGCCGTTGTTGAGATGCAGGTCTTGGTTTCTTGTTAGTTGGGAGGGGTGTAGTAGGGAAGGTAATAGGAGATGATTACGGGAGTTTGGAGGGTTGTTAAGCGGACTTCATCGTCGCGAGGTTTGAAGTCGGCTTTACGTTGCTTGTTGAGGAGGAGGGCTATGTGCGCAAGGACAACTGTGCTGTTGGTCAGTAGGAGGCTAAAGAAGGATTGTTGGGGCGGGGGGTCGTACTGTCGATAGTCCTCTGGATCACTCCATTGACTTTCTGCTCCAACGCGGAGAGTGTAGTGCTAGTCAATTTTACCATTTCTCGTTTGATTGTTAGCGAGGTCTGCGATAGTGGGGTCAGAGCTGTGTTTATGAATGAGAACATTAGGTGCATTATTATGGTAGCGGGCTTTAGCTCTTGTAGGTATGATAGATCCGGTTCGCCTTTTGTCTGAGCTTCGGCGGTCTCAGTGGCGCTATAGAGGGTATTAGCGGGGGACTCGAGCTAGAGGTAAGGGCCGCGAACGCGTCTAGAGCGATATCTAAATACATAGTCCTCATATTTTCGATTAGGATATTTAGCATTATGGATACGTCCCTTGGGCTGCGCTCATTAGTGTCCCAAATCCTCACTCAGGGAAAGTAGGGCCACACGTATCAGCCTGCGAACTCAGCTCTAGACTTCTTCCTACAGCCTCCGCAAGCCACTTGAGCATTCTTTTGGGGAATTCGACGTTTAGTTTCCCATCCGTATCGGATAGTAGTACGTCGGAAAGATGGCTATCTTTCCCAGCTTTGCGCTCGAAGCCGATCATCTTGCTGAGGGCATCGCTCTGCGACTTTGCAAGCTCACTTTCGAGGACTTTTTCTATGGCTCGTTCTCGGGACTTCTTGAGTCGGTCAAGGACTCCGAGGGGTTTCTGCTCCTTGCGTTGTTCCTGTTTTTGTGAGATAGGGAGCTTTTGGGGGGGGGGTGGGGAGGAGCAAACATGAAACATGTGGAATTTAAGCAGAAGCCCTGTATATAGCTGCTCCAAGCTCTCCTTTTCCTTCTCCATATATCCTCTATCTTGCAGGTATGGTGCGAATAGTTCTTCAACATTCTGGTCTAAAAGCATCGTCGTCCCAGAACTCAATGGCCCAGGGTGTTCTGTCAGTCCGTGAGCCTTCAAATCATCTGACAGCGTCATGACATGCGCTCTGGAAACCTGTAATGTGCGCAGGAAAGCGAGGGTAGAGATATTAGAAGCGTGCTCTAGTACCATCTCCAGCCGTTGTTGCAAGGATTGTTGAAAAACCCTTTGCAAGAAGGTGCCCAGGACTGCTTCTGGATACGGGAATACCTCTTTGATGGTTTCTGATTCCATTTTTAGCACATCTCGGATTTCATGAATTAGGGTTAGTAGACTTGGGTCTAGCCCCGGGGGGTTTGCATCGGGGTCTGATAACTGTTCCCTGAGGTCGTCTTCTATGACAATTTCGCCAGCATTGATCTTGCTGGCAGCAATAAAAAAGTCCATTTGGTTCAGGAAATTGCTGATGACTGATGTCCCACCATTGAAGTCGTGCAAGACTTTGGCGCAGCCTTTCATGGCCGGAACATTAAATTCCCGATATGCATCGTCGAATTGCTTTAGTAAATCCTGCTCAAGGCTTTCAGAGAAAGCTTCGATCAGCTCCTTTGTCCCCGGCCGGGCGGTTCCCTCGTTCCTTTTAAGAATCAAGCTCAACTGCCGGCTCACAACAGCACATTTGATACTATCTTCAACCCAGGGAGTTCGCCGCAGCTTTTCTAGCCGAGAGGTATCTCCACGGCTAAACTCGATATAGCACTGTATTAAGAACTTTGCATCTTCAGCCCGCTGATGTTGCTTCTCTAACTGCTCCAGTTGCCCACCAATCCTAGCGGCCATACCCCCACCATCGGTGATACTAGTGTCCAGGCGTTGAAACTCTGATAAGGTGGTGTTAAATTTAAGACTTAAGCGATCGATTGTGCGGGCGTGGTCGATCTCTGCCCTTCTCACACCTTCTTTAAGTTCGGACTCTTTGGCTGAGAGGCCTTCATCAAGGTCTTTCAGCCGCTCTAGAGCTCCTTCGAATGTGCGGATGTAGGGTTTGGGGTCAAAGGTTAGTGCTGAGCCATGTTTTAGCCATCGAAGCACTGGACTAGAGTAAATGGAGAGTGATACTGCCAAAATTTGCTCCCGACCGACGATTCGGGGGTATAGCAGAGCCGGTAAGGCCTTCTACGAAGTCTTTTACGATAAAATCAGCAGTCTATAGTCACACAGCTGTTAGTTTCCAACAGGGGGGTTGGCAGGGAAAATGGGTCTAAACGTACGGAGAAGTGGGATAGGGAAAATGCGCTCGGTTTAGGGTATATTGAGCGGGAGGTACGTGAAGACTCGGCAACAGTAGATTTGACCATTGTTTGTGGTGTGGACAGAGCTGAGAGGCAGGGTGAGAAGGTGAGGGGAGGACTTCGGTGCTTACGTTCAATCCGGGAGAAAGCAGAATTCGCAACAACGGTTTCGTGGTTGCCGTTTTCGATCCCCCCACTAACAGTGCCAAGGTTCCCGCCACTTCCAAGGAAAGTAACGCCTTTGTAAGCTGGTTGTGAGGATTGGATGTAGCTTGTAATTACTTAGCAATTCCACAAATACCGGTATCCGGAAATCTTAGCATATTTTTAGCCGTAGCTTGCGCCACGCTGCCGCTCCACATTTCCGGATACTTTTGGAATGGCCAAGTACGAGTAGTTGGATCCTACGAATATTATGATGTTAATTCGAAGGACGCTAACCGTGCCAAGGTTCCCGCTGATTATGTAACTGCATGCAGTTGCAGCATGTCTATGATGTGCCGTACAGCGCAACACAAAATTCAGCTCAATGTAAGATTTCTGTCTACCTCCAACAAAAGAAGTCTATTATACCACCAAAAACCTTTCTGATGAGCTCATCATATATGGAAATTGAAGGCAGTATTGAGCTTGTATGTCAAAGCTTAATAGATAGTCAGAAACCAAATGTTTCCGCTGCTGCATGAGAGTTTAATGTTTTGGGACTAGAATTGTGGACAAGATAGAACAAGCATTCAGCAAAGACACAAAGATGTCCACTAACAGAAAGCTCTCAGATAATAAAGTGGATACCCTTTGCCTCTATCCACAATGTCTTGATGAAATTAGTACTACAGCCTAATTTCAAATGATTACAAATTGTGCCAATAGTCTCCTGCAACAAAATTATTCAAGTACTGATAATCCCTCTATAGTTTCCTCCTTTGTTAGTCCAGCTTAGATATCTCATTTTCTCCAAAGGGATTCTAAGTATCATATCAAAAAGCAGAAGACCTTTGACTATGAAAGGAAGAATGCATATCATTCTAGTAAGATTCTCAATTGGTTTAGACAGTAGAAGTCAATTTCTAATAAGAAAAGAATTTAGAAAAAAGCCTTCTATAATTTGAATAAAATGAGTTATTACATTAGCAGAAGACATAACTAATGGATTACAATCTTAGATCCAGACTGCTATTGTAGTTCTATTCATTAAGTTCAATAAGTCATGAGGTAGTAACTGCTTTTGAGGCTATAAGTACTAATAGCTTTATCTTACTGCTAATGATTATATTTCCTAGTACCCTATACATATCAGCAAAAATTATTCCTGCATTAGAGGCATGCATCAGCAAAAAAAACTCTGCATCTGATGTGTGGACTGCCTGTCCTAATGCTAAGTTTTATTTTTTTGTGTCTCCTGCATCCTGTACATCCTGATTCTGGTTGGAACACTCTACAGTCTCCTGTACATTTGGGCTTCCAGGCCTAACTCCCTCCTATATCCCCTGCATCCAGTTACCATTCTCCTTACATGCTCACCTCTGTGTAACTGGAGCTGCTGCTCGGTTAAGTTAGTTTGTTTTATGTTTTATATTTTGTTTTAAGTATCAGTTAATACTTAGTTTGTTTTATGTTTTGTTTTAAGTATTGGTTGATACTTGATTATTTTTATAGTTTGATTGAGTAAGAACATGAGTGAGAATTTATGATCATACTCAAACACATGTACTTAAAAAGACCACTATCTTCCACTTTGGAAATGGCAGACTTCGACAGATAGTATTCTAATATACTTGGTTGAATGATTATCGTTATTTACCTACTACACTACCGAAGCCTCCCTTAGTGAGCCTATAGTCATTACCCTCTGGTAGATTAGTACTCTACTCCTATTGTACCCAATGGCGTGACTAGCACCCTGGCATGAACACGTTATATTTTTTTAACCTCAACAAGTAGTTAACATATGATGAATCAGGACCTGATCAACCCATTAGGATTTAGCAAACGAACAGTACTGGCAGAAGCAGCAGACTATGACAGTTGGCTCCTGTACTAAATCAAGTATGATATAGATCCACTTACAACTTGAAGTAGGTGTAAGATCCCACAGGAAGGCCAGACCTAGAAGAAGGGAAAGAAGCCAGACACAGGCACCACACTTGGTGAATTTCTGGAATCACCAGAGATAGAACACAAACCACTGGCACAACTGCGACCACCACCTCCAACTAGTAGCTCTTCAGAAAGTGAAGAAAATATGTCCAGCCATGGCATCCTGGTACCCCTATCTAGGCTAGCCAACCTACTGGCAGAAGAAACCAGACAGAAACCTAAGATAAAACTCCCACAACCCATAACATTCTTGGGAAGAGGAGAAGATGTTAGGCTAGAGGCATTCGAACAACGCTATATGAGTGTACAACAATATCTATCAGCACATAGAATAGATATAAAAGACTACAGAGCGGGAATCTATTTAAGAATCTTTTGTACAGAAGATGCGACAGAACCATATCAACAATGTATTAAGGAGTACTGTGATCCAGACTAAGTAAGGGCAATTATGGTAGTCAACTTCCTACATGAGTGGTCCAATCTTCCCATAATAAGGATAAGATATTCAACAAGTTCAATACCATTCAATATACACATGAAGAAAGAACTGACAAAATAACCAAAACGGCAATTACACTTCTCATGTACCATAGTGGCATGCCTTCTGGGATGGTATCAGCATGTGCCCTTAAGAAGTGATTTTATGAAAGCATGCACAACAAGCTCCGGCAGGTAGTAGAGATACAGGAAGCAGCAACTGACGATATCTATACAATAATTAAAAGAGCAGAAAGATATGATACTATCCTATGGCATATGAATGCTTACAAGACACATGAGGCTAAGAAGAAAAGAGACAGTAGTACAGTCCCTCTGAGAGCTCAAGGAAGATAGGAACTGAGAAGCTAAGGAACAACTAGCAACAACTACGTCACAAGGAAAACAAGGAATACTATGAATGTGGAAAAAAGGGCCACTACGCTAAGGACTGCTATATATGAAAAGTCAAGAGTAAGCCCATAAAAAAGGAGGTCGCCACCAACCTCCTTGAAGACATTGAAGAAAGCCACTATGAGGAAGTCAGTATCAATGCAGTAGCAACAATAATCGAATGTTATAAAGCCACCCCAACAGCTACGAAGATACTCCCTGTTCAATCACTAGAAGGCACAGTGGAGATAAATGGATTTCCAGTAAGAGTCCCATTCAACACAGAAACAATAGGATCTGATATCTTAAGAAACACCTTTGTAGCCACGCATGGCATAAAAACCTGGCCTACAAAATACCTGGTTATATTCAATATGGCCATAAAAGGGTCTCGGTCAACCAGTGATAGCTAGGCAACCACCATAGTTCAAATAGGAAACACAAGATTACTGAACAAGCCTATGCTAATTGGGGATGTGGTGAAGTACAATGCACTTCACGGTATACTATTCATGACTTGTCATAAAGCAACTATCAGCTGTGGTAAAATGACAGTCACCTTCTCAAACCAGAAAGTAAAAGTCCTGTATAAACTGACAAGCGGGGAACATAGGTCTGCAGTAACAGAGATTGGGTAAACCATTATGGACAAATTCAACAATGTCTTCTTAGATGAAATACAGGACGGATTACTACTACTTCAAAATATCAACCACTGAGTGCAACTAATCCGTAGATCACAAATCAAAGATGAATCTATGTACTTGGTCTCAGAGGTATACAAATCACAATTACACAAATGGATCCAAACGAAGGTGGACCAAGGAGTTGCTTTTGTCACAAACTGTGACTAAGCAAGGCAGATTTTACATAGCCCGGGATTCTGAGCTATAGGTATGTTGGGATTTCACATGACGCACACTAGTGCGCCATAGGTTATTATATTTACCTGTTCGTGACTCACAGTTGTAAGTCACACGATGTTATGATTTTCGCACATGACTCAATTTATGAGTCATGGGTTTCACTCAGGTGACCTGAGTTACACACCTGACTTGGTTATTATGTTTTAATTGGTTTTAGGTACGTTGCGCAGCGAGTCATAGGAGTCGGCTGATGGATTTCATGTGACTCATAGTTATGAGTCACAAGGTTCACGTGACGTGAGGTATGAGTCATGCCGGGTGAAGAACTACTATATAAGGGATCGCTAGGACCCCGAGTATTAGTTCTTCACATATTCTTCTTGTTTATTTCCTACCTTTAAGTTATTACAATATAATCTACCTTTATGCTCTTTAAGATTTATCTTAAGAAACCCGAGAACTATCTTTCCTACCAAGCGAGAAAACTATTTCTCCTCCCACGTTGAACTACTAAGTCCTAAGTGAGGACTTAAGAAGATTGAAGGACTAGGCGCGATAAGATAGAAGTCGAAAGAACTTAGCTATCTACATCGTATAGGCATCGGCCTAAGAAGTATTACCTTGATACGCATTAAGAATCGTTACCTGTCCATCACGCCCCTGGTACGATTCTTAACATTAGAACATGTCTACAACGTGACACTTAACGATTTCACCACATATCTGTTTAACAGAGATCAGGAAGAAGACAAAGACCTATAAGACGACAGCTTAGGTCTAGGGGGATTAGAAGAAGCACTCAGTGAAGCAAGCAGACACTCAGCCAGCTCAGCCAGTCCAGTTACACCTGAAAAAGCTACTCCTTCAAATCAAGAGGAACTGCCTGAAACACCAAAACCTGAAAGAATGTCGGAACCAGCACTACCAATAGGCCCACCTCCGGCAGGACCAGTGCATCCTCTAATGATTCCACAAGACGAAGTGAAACAGATAGTACGAGAAGCTATAAGAGAAAAAGGACAATAACCCAAAGTCAAGACCCCACCGCGATATGATGGGGAAAGAAGCAAGCTATGAGGATTTATGATACAACTCTTGACCTACTTTGATGCAGTACTAGGATGGACGCAGGGGAACGACCAGGATAAAATACGATATACCCTTACTCTACTTGAAGGAACAGTCCTAAAATGGATAACATCAGCAAAAATAAAAGCTTGTGTCCTGTGC